ATAGATATATATATATATATATATATATATATATATATATATATATATATATATATATATATATATATATATGTATACGTAGTCATCAGAAGACGGAAACAATGTTAAAACCACAGATTACAGACGCTTACTCTTGTTCATCACGTTCAGCACGGAAGAAAGGATTTGTTCGGATTAATCAACTGTGTGGTGAAAGACGAAATTCCAATTGAAGTTACCAGAATTCTGTTAAAATTTGCCAGACATTTTGATAATTCAGACTGAACTCTAATAACTTCAATCGGAATTTCTGGTTCGTCCGTTACTCACCACAGAAATTTGGTTAAACCGACCAAACTTTTTTTCCGATATTACTATCTTTTCTCTCTCTCTCTTTCTCTCTTTCTTTTTCATGATTACTTTACATACATTACGGATCGAAATTCTATTCGAAAATGCGAATCGGATGTAACATCTCGCTGTGTTGAGAAGCGAGCAGAGAACGACTCGTCTCGATACGGAGACAAGTGAATCCGATCTCATTCTATGAAGCCTAATAACCATCACAGTTACAATGAATTTTCGTTATAAGTCTCTTAAAACACCGCGGATATTTCTCGCGTCATTTACACTCACAGTATAATTAGCCTCTGTCTTTTAAACAGCTAACGTTAATATACATTTATAATACGAAAACCTGTTTTGTTCCCCCTCGTGTAATGGATTCGAGCGTGGAAAGTATTAACACGCTGACGTAGCACACGTACACAGAAAAAAAAGATCTGCTACATATGGACGACTTAAAACGTAATTTAAACTGTATTAGCCACTTTTTCTTTACTGCAGGAGCCAATTTCCTTGCTATGATAACAACGAAATCTGCTCCTGCAACAAAAAAATAACTAAAGCAGTAAATTAATTGTTTAATTGTCCATAGCAAATTTGCCACTTTAACCATTTTTCTTGCTAGGAGTAGATTTTCTTGTTATCATAGCAAGAAAATAGGTTCTTGCAGCAAAAAAGTAACTAATACAGCGAATTATATTTAACTGTCCATATGTAGCAAATTAGTTTGCTGCTGATTATTTTTAATAATCAGCAAGATTAATAAAGCAAGATTAATAAAGCAATCAATCAGTAAGATTAATAAAGAAATTATTTTTTTCCGTGTGTCTTTCGATGATTCAACGTTATTGTACACAGAGAAAAATAATTTTGTTCTTTAGCAAAATCGTCGTTGCTACTGCATATTCGTAATGACATCAAAAGAATTTAGTTGACGTAACTAATTTTACAAATTACTCGTTATTAGAGCAGAAGTAGTTTCGTTGCCAGGATAGAAAAAAAATTTGTTGAGTGTATTTGTCGTAAGAATTATGTTAATTTGCTATTGATGCAAAATAATCCTTAGCAAATTTATTTGCTATCGGAGCAAAACTGCAACTGCTTGTATATATCCATCGTGGTTTTTATAACAAAATAATTTGTAAATTCTGCAAATTATATCCAGCAAATACATTGTAAAAACTGTGTTAAATTTAACATTTCATGTGTCCCAAATCATCCACTCTGTCATCATTTATGTGTAAATTTAACACAAAACAAATGTGGTAAAAAATAACACGCATAATATGTAAAAAATTAACACAAGAATTTAATTTGAATACCGGTTTTGGAAATTAAAATCATCTAGTAGAAAATAGAAACTGTTTCTTAATTAATTTTGGGCATCTATAAGTTTTTTTCGTTTTGTGTAAAAAGACCTATGGACTAACTACATAAATAAAACAAATCCTGACTTACCGTCAGGAATCACAGTTTTTAAATTGACATATGTATAATGTTAAATTAACTAAAATAAAACGTTACTTTAACATGAAAGAAGTATTAATCTATGGTTTTGATGAAATGAAAGTGTCAAATTGACATAATCTATGTCTGACATATTAAATATGTCAATTTAACACAATCTGTGATTTCTGAAGGTATTCAAGTGTTAAATTCTTGTGTTAATTTTTTCCATATTATGTGTGTTACTTTTCAATACATTTGTTTTATATGAAATTTACACATAAATGAGAGTGGACGATTTGTGACACATGAAATGTGTTAAATTTAACACATCAGTTTTTAGTGTACTTTTAGCAAATCCTTTTGCTGTTCATATAATAACGAAAAGATTTTGCTAGAACCAGCAGAAAATTTACTGGGCCAGTCAATTATTTTTCTCCGTGTATCTCTAGCAAATAGGTGTTGCTCCTTCACTTTCACGATTTCGCACTTTACGAAGGAAATAATACTGTAGACTTACCCGAGATCGTCCATACATACGTATGTACGTATAATACAATCTTCCTTTTTACGAGATAGGTCGTAGGGATGCCAAAGCGCAAATATATCAGTGATCGAGTGAACAATTTATGAGTATATTGCTAGCAGGAGTTGCCGATGTTGGACCAAACAATTGTCGCAGGCCGCTAAAATACAAACGTTTCACACGTATAGAGTGCGTGACATATAAAATTAATTATCCTTAAAGGCTCGAGGAATACGCTGGACTGATAAACTTGCTGAATCGCTTGCCTCTAATCCGACGTAAGATGTAATTTAGTACCGTGGCGAAGATAGGCGAGAAATTAGATGCTTTTTCTCATCTCTTCTTCTCTTCTCCAGCCGTTATTCGTCGATAATAAGTCTCGTCGTGCATTCGCGATCCTGACACCGTGGAGAGAACCGCTTCCCTTAACATTAATCAAATCGTCATTGTGCTGAAGAAATTTTTGCTCACTTATTGTGTGACCGATTATCCGCGTGAGTAACGTTAACCTATCGTGAAATCGATCGCCCTTTGTATAAGTCTGGCATTAGTGGCAGTGCGAGATCTAATGTAAAGCGGCTTGGTAATCGACTCTTCCTCTCTCTCTCTCTCTCTCTCTCTCTGCCGTACATTCCTCTTCGCCATTTGATTTCCTTTTTTTTAATCAAGTGTACAAATATATACGTGTATATCATATACCTCTGCACGCAAGTAAAAGTATCGCCGCGCCTCGAAGACAGTATAACCGTCTCACTGCGCGAAACTATGATTCAATTCATTACGAACGTTACACAACGCCGTTCTCAGTTCTATGTACATATGCTGTAAACATATGTTATACTTTACAGCACGTAAACGCGTAAAATAACTTTGTAAGATTTTCCAAAAATACGTTTCAGTCTATGCTGTGCGGCCCCGAGTCCATCTTAACGTGAAAACGTACGCACGTCACACACAGTTTCCTCGTGCAATTGCCTTCATACGATTTTATATAATTATACGTATAGCCTGGCGAATCGAAAATGGTCGTTGAGATTGGTCGAATATTGGCAACTCTCTGTCGTTTTCAGATGTATACACAAGCGTGTCAGATATTATACGGATGATTTGCCGAAACGAAACCCCTTGCCTCCCGTGAACTCCGGGGGGGAGGGTGGGGGGAACTGTCGTTTTGTTCCTAATTATTAATCCCGCGACGCTCCTGAGCGCGATTATTCTTTCGGCAAAGCCTTCATGAAGTAAGTCAGCATGTCGATCGGCAGCGGGAATACGATGGTGGAATTCTTCTCCGCCGATATCGTGTTCAGCGTCTAAGGTTGGCAAAACGAGAAGTGCATTTAGAAAACTTCGTATTAAATTTAATAACTGGGATGTGAAGTTTTTTCACATAACTGTGTTATAAAAAATAATAGTAAAATCAATGTTATATTCAATAACACATAGTTATAAAAAATCATAATCAGCGATTAAAATCACAATATAGCGATGCACAACTTCTGCGATAGCATAAAGGAGAACCGATGAAGAGATTTTTGGATAGCTCCGTGAAAATCTCGGTAAAGGCCAGCTTTGCAAGCTGAATCTTTCAGGCCACGTGACCGAAACAGTCTCGTATTTATGATATATTAGAAAAATTATTATAACACACGGAAAAAAAAGATCTGGTTGAATTAACCAAATATCTGGTCGAATATGAACGATCCAGAAATTCCGATTGAAGTAACCCGAATTCTGTTTAAGTTAACAAGATTTTTGGTAGACTAACCAAACATGTCTAGTTATTTAATAGACATATCTTTTCCTCTCTGGTTGAATAATCTGATATGTTTGGTTAATCTACCAAAAATCTTGTTAACATAAACAGAATTCGGGTTACTTCAATCGAAATTTCTGGATCGTTTATATTCGACCAGATATTTGGTTAATTCAACCAAATCTTTTTTTTCCGTGTATCTTAACGTGTTATAATATTTTATAATTTAATATGGAATTTAATAAAAAAAAATATGGAATATAAAATAGAAAATATTAGATTTCATAAGAAATATGAAATATTATAGCTAATTTATAACTAATAATCCTAATGTTATGAAAATTTTCACTTATTAATTTTAATATCAAATTCTTAAATTTACTTTCAAAAGGTTATTATTTTTAAAAGCTTTCCTAACAGTATATGAGATACACGAAGTGCGAGAGCCATGCAAAAGAGCCGAATCGTGAGACGTTCAGTGATTCATTGATGCTGAATGGATCTTTACCTGCAAGTAACGAAGCTGCAAGGCAGCGGGCGAGTCGCCAATCACCTCTGACGCCTCTCTCAGAGCCCTGCTGGCCTTCTGTTCACCCTCCGCGGCGATTACCTGGGCGAAATTATCGTAATAATTGTACGAAGCTCTCTAGTTTTGTCATAGAAACGACTAAAATTCATTTCATTTCATCGATTTCTTACTTTAGCGCGTGCTTCACGTGCAGCTTCAGCTTCCGCTGCCATGGCTCTCTGCAGTTGAACGGGCAATCGTACGTCCTTGCTGTAAACGTCGCGCAAATAGATTTCTCACGTAATTGCGCGTATATTGAGTCGATAGAAAAATTCGACTCGATTTTCTGCCTTCTTCCTAACGATTACGCATGCATTGAGAAAAAAATTTACTAAGGTAAACGTCCCAGTGGTCGAACATATATATCCCAATGATTGACATACACTGAGAGAAAAATGTATGATATTTGGAACTATAATGGCATAGTAAAAATATTATAGTTAGGAATATAATTTTTATAGTAAATGTTACCATAATATTTGTAATATTTACAATATAAGTATAGTATAACTGACCCGTGTAAAATTTTTACCAAGAATTATAATTATTTGAAATAAAAAATATGGTAAGGTGGCAAATATTGAATGGTAAGAGAAATTAACTATTTTATATAGTCAATACAATTGGAATATTTGGCAAATATAGGTACATGTAACTATATTCTCAAAAGGTACTTTACCATATATATAGAGTAATAAGATGGTGACTATAAATCTGTGTTCATTCTACTACATCTTTATGTTTAGATGAACTATAAATATATGTTTGAGGCCAAAACGAACTATAAAATATAGTGAGATTATAGTTATTCCAACTATTTTTTTCTCTCAGTGTATGGTTTTGTATTTTTCTTTGTTGAAATGCTTTTCAATATACAGAACAATATAATAAATGAAAAGAAATATTTAGTTACTTTGTGATTTTGTTTCATTTATTGATAAGCATCTTAATAAACACAAGTATATTATTAGTTATCAATAATTCAATTATCAGTACACATTCAATCACTAGGACGTTTACCTTAAATTTCAAAAAACGTTTGTTTGAATACAACTGTGAACATACTTGTTTAACCCTATAGTCGTCGCATGGAGTCTTTAAGAGGATATTATATCTAAAATAGTCTTTTCTTATATTTTACATGAACCTAAAAACTTAATTAAACAAAGAAAATATTTAAGTTCTCAACATAAAAGATATAAAATAATTTTTTATATTGGAATTTCTTAAGATCCCATACGTTGACTCGTGTTCGAAAAGTAGCGCGACGACTGTAGGGTTAAATTAAGTAATTATTTTCTAAAATCAAAGAAAGAAATTTATATTTAAAACTTCCTTATTTAATAAAATTAAATAAATTAAAGAAAGAAGTTTTAAATATAAATTTCTTTCTTTGATTTTAGAAAATAATTTCTTAATTTAACCCTACAGTCGTCGCGCTACTTTTATTTAATAAAATTTAATAAAGTAAGTATTAAATAAAGTAAATATACTATTTAATAAAATAATCAAATAATCATTTAATTTAAAAAAGTCTGAATTTTTGTATTTAAATAAATGTATCACAAGCTTTTATTATTAATTATTCATTTATGATTTTCGTCATTAAGATCGACAGTTGGCTCTTATTTGCCTTATTCTTTGTTTGCTTTAATAAAGTCTCAAGAGCCTATAACTTTTGATTTAAACAAATATGTATTCACAGTTGTACCCAAACGTTTTTTGAAATTTAGTAAATTTTTTTCTCATAATTGTATGCAATGCGAGCAATTGATCTCTGTACTCACATCTCGACGCGTTCCACCTTGATTCCCCAAGTATCAGTGGCTTCATCCAAGGAGGCCTGCATCGGAAATGTCACTCGCGAGTTTATTAAGACAAAATTGCTGCATAACTAATTAGACTCGCTCGAGATAAATTTTCTAATACCCCTCATTTTTTAATACTCCTTGTACCTCGCCGGCCATGTCGGATTTGTGACGTTTTTTATCAGTTCTAACGGATTATATCGAGGCTCCAATATTTATTTTATTTTCTAATCTAATCTTCCGCGTGGTCGTTTGGCGCGAGTTTGACGCTCACCTGCATGTTTCCGGAGATCGTCTCGCGCTCGCTCAGTATCTCGTGAAGCGGTCGCGTTCCCATGGTGTTCCTCAGGGTGGTCTGGGCCAAGAGTCTCGTGCTGTGGTGCGCGTTCTCCACATTCGCGATCGAGATGGTCGCGTTGTTCACGCGGTAGTAGACCACCGCGTCGACGGACACGGTGACGCTGTCCTTCGTCAGGACCTAAACGAGCGTCGTGAATTAGAAGCGTCTCTTCTAACGCTCGTCTGTCGACTGATAATTCACGCACGGTGTACTGAGAGAAAAATGTTTCTCTAACTATATAATTATATGAAGAAATAATTATTATAAACTACGTGGAAATCATTTTCTTATTAACCCTTTCGTGCCTCCGGCTTTCCCAGGAAAGATGCGTTTTATATGGAGACGGTTCTTAGGTTTTTGGGGACGCTGATTTCAAATCAATTATCAAAATTTAAATTCAAAATGGCGGATTCAAGATGGTGGGTGTGAAATACTGAAATATCGATATATTCAAAATAAAAGTTTGAATTATGTTTTTTTTTTGAATATTAATTATAATTCGAATGTAAGAATCTCGAGTCAAGATAATATATTTCGGATAACTATTACAAGGAACTTCTGAGTATATTGTCTATTCATACATCATATACGGTCATAAATATCATTTATCTACATATACACTGTTTTTATTAAAATATATGCACACAACCATATATATATATATATATATATATATATATATATATATATACACAAAGATTTTCAACCTAAAATATTTAAAATATTTAAAATATTTAAAATATTTAAAATATTTAAAATATTTAAAATATTTAAAATATTTAAAATATTTAAAATATTTAAAATATTTAAAATATTTAAAATATTTAAAATATTTAAAATATTTAAAATATTTAAAATATTTAAAATATTTAAAATATTTAAAATATTTAAAATATTTAAAATATTTAAAATATTTAAAATATTTAAAATATTTAAAATATTTAAAATATTTAAAATATTTAAAATATTTAAAATATTTAAAATATTTAAAATATTTAAAATATTTAAAATATTTAAAATATTTAAAATATTTAAAATATTTAAAATATTTAAAATATTTAAAATATTTAAAATATTTAAAATATTTAAAATATTTAAAATATTTAAAATATTTAAAATATTTAAAATATTTAAAATATTTAAAATATTTAAAATATTTAAAATATTTAAAATATTTAAAATATTTAAAATATTTAAAATATTTAAAATATTTAAAATATTTAAAATATTTAAAATATTTAAAATATTTAAAATATTTAAAATATTTAAAATATTTAAAATATTTAAAACGATAAAAGTATTTTGAAAGTCTGAAAGATAAATTGTGAGTTGCGCACAATTTGATCATACATATAAATTATTACAATATTTTTCATTATTAAGTTTTAATCTTTTTGCATTTCTTTTACACTTTAATAAGACTTTAAGTATATAATTAGCATTAATTCAATGAATTTTCGACATAATAAAAAGTTATTTTTCACTACCTAAAAGTTGTATTTTTAGCAAAGTTTAAATAACTATATTTTATTGAAAACATAATATTTTAAAATGTGCGACAATTTGTATATGTAGCTTGAACCTTCATCTTTAAAACAGGTTATAGTAAAAGTCGATAGGACTATTTGTTTAAAAGTTATAATGATTTTTGAAAGTGGGACATGTATGTCTCAGAGGCACGAAAGAGTTAAAGGAAGATAAACATTATGACGGTTGAAAAAAATAACTCTTTTTAGCGAATTTTTTGTGACGCCCATAAAGCAGGTAGATAAATAAATGTTTTTGCATTGAATTAGTCATCTTTTGAACTGTTGAAAAATATTTTTCTATTTGATGAAATACATTTTTATTTTGGTATAAAATGTGTCTATAATAAGCACTTGGAATCCTTAAAAGTTTAATCTGAAAAAAAACCCAAGATTTTCTTAAAGTATATAAATGTAGTTTCAGTTAAGCGTACGGATTTTTTTTACGATTGCAATTTCCACCCAAAAAACGGTATTTTTCTTTGGACGATTTTTGAACATTTTTTTAAACGTGCGCTATTTTGCGAATAATTAAAATATTAAAATTTTCGTATGCTTAACTTGAAATTACATTTATATGCTACACTAAGAAAGAAATTTACTAAATTTCAAAAAACGTTTGTTTGGATAGTACTGTGAAGGTATTTGTTAAAATTAAGTAATTATTTTCTAAAATTAAATAAAGAAGTTTTAAATATAAATTTGTTCCTTTAATTTTAGAAAATAATTACTTAATTTTAACAAATACCTTCACAGTACTATCCAAACAAACGTTTTTTGAAATTTAGTAAATTTTTTCTCAGTGTATAAGAAAATCTTGGATTTTTTATTTCAGATGACTTTTAAGGACTCCAGCTGCAGGGCCGATGGAGCTTGCAGAGTTTACTACAAACACATTTTATAGCAAAATAAAAATGTATTTCATCAAATAGAAAAATATTTTTCAACAGTTCAAAAGATGACTAATTGAATGCAAAAACGTTTATTTATCTACCTGCTTTATGGGCGTCACAAAAAATTCGCTAAAAAGAGCTATTTTTTCCGGCCGTCACTGTGTTTATCTCCCTTAAATTCGACTATAATATTAATAATCCTGTATGTGTGTTAGAAGAATCCTGTGTCAGAATATAGCTGGAGCCAAAAATAACTATAATTTTATTTAGATCAACCACTTTTTCTCTCGACGTGCGCATAAATGAACGACTCTCGTTCGCTCGTGAGTTACCTCCTGCGGCGGCACGTCGTAAGTTCGCGTCCGCAGGTCGACGCGTGCATAATTGTCCACGCACGGCAGGATGAAGAAGATCCCTGAGAACAGGCGTATCATCAGGACTTGGCATTGTTGCAGCTATAATCGCGAAGGCCCGATAATGCGAAAATATCCAAGTTGCATTCCGATTAAAAAATAGGAGAAAGATAGGAGAGAAAAGCGAAGGAAGAGAAGAAAGAGCGGCCTGTAAAAGGGCCGTTATAAATATCAACCGAATTATTCAGCTTTATCGATCCGGAATTTTACAGTCGAACGGTGTAAAGAATTCTCTCACGCGACGGTGCGCCTCGCGTGGCCCAATTAAAGGAATCGCGCCCGTATGGTCCATCGCGTTTGAATCTTACCGGGGCCTTTGGCACCGCCGGACAAAAGACGGCCCAGCCGAAAGATGACAGCCCTCTCGTACTCTTGCACGACCTGCAAATTCAAGAGGACCAACGTTTTCAGCGAACGCCTTTCACGAAAAAGATCGTGTTAATGACAATCGCGTTATCGACATTTTTTTGGAGCTCGACATTCTCTCCTAAGATTTTAAGAAAATATGAATTTTCTTGTTTGAGAAATATCTTACAATTAGCACAAGAGCAAACACGTTATTAGTGCCTGCGTCGAATAAATATTTTCCACTTCTCAGGCATTCTTTTCTCTCACAAGGAACATTCGCGAAGTGTGTGTCTCCGATTTTGATGAAACTTGGCATATTTTTAGAGTGGCCAAAAATAAGAGACCCATATTTTTTTATCGGCAATGGCTCAGGCTTAAGGGGTGAAACTACCCCTCAAAGTTTTATGCTCTTTTTGCTATCTCTATAAGTGTTTTCTATTGGAGATAGAAAAAAACTTTTCAGCCCATTTTATTTTTTATAAAAAACCGCATAACTTTTGCCTAAAAAGTTTTTTTCTATCTCCAATAGTTACAGAGATAGCAAAAAAGGCATGAAACTTTGAGAGGTAGTTTAAACCTGCGCCATTGCCGATATTTTTGACCACTCTATAAATATACCAAGTTTCATCGAAATCGGAGACACCCACTTCGCGAATGTTCCTCGTCAGTGTACAATTTATTGTGGACTGATAAAGAAATCGATCGATTCCCATGGGGGAACGATCGACGAGCGGCGCGCGGATCGATATTCCCGCGTTCATCGCGGGATTAATTATTTAATGTGAAATAACGCGAGCGAGATCGCGCCGATAAGAGAAGCATCGAGCCGGTATGGCGTGTTAACGAACGAGCGCGCGATGGTCTTTATGCGCCGATGCATATCACGCAATGACCCGCGATCTGACAATAAGGTCACCGAGAGAACGACTGTGCCAGCGTCGTTCCGTGCGGATACAGTTTATAAACGCCCGTAACTATAGCTACGTCGGGCTAACATTGCACTGAGAGAAAAACATAATTGGAATAACTATAATCTCACTATATTTTATAGTTTCTTTCGGCCTCAAACATATGTTTATACACTGAGAGAAGGATTTAGTAAATATTATCAAAATTTGGCTACTCTTACTAAAAGGTAGACGTAAATATAGCGGGCCAAAGCTATGGACTTATTAATTAATTTAGCTCTGTAAAATAAATTATTTATTTGACAGAAGTAAAATTTACTTGCTTCCAGAATATATTTGGTAAATAAAACTTATTGAATAGTTGAGCAAAATAAGCGATTTTGTAATAGTTACAAAATTTTTGGTAGGTTCAACCAACCATCTATAATAATAGATATTGAAATGATGTAGTAGCTGCAAATGAATGAATTTTTCGTTGTGTTGCAACAAAACATACTTATACTGGTAACAAAATAGAACTCGTACCTATTGAATTTTTTATTACATAGGATATAACAATTTCATAGCAATTATCAAATATCTGTTCATAACTGTAATATATTTCATATTAAATATTTAACATTATTTAATTCATTTATTTAATTCATGTTACTGTAAATGCAATTACGTTATACTCCCGATCTATTAAATATTTGGTAATTATTATCATATTTAGTATTAGTTACTAAGGATTCAACGAATTTCTGTAACTAAATGCAGTTTGTTATAATTACCAGTCTTTTCTCTCAGTGTAGTTCATCTAAACATGATATAGCAGAATGAACACAGATTTATAGTCACCATTTTATTCCTCTATGTGTATAGTAAAGCACACTTTGGGAATATAGTTACATGTACCTATTATTTGCCAAATATTCCAATTGTATTGACTATATAAAATAGTTAATTTCTCTTACCATTCAATATTTGCTACCTTACTATACTTTTTATTTCAAATAATTATAATTCTTGGTAAAAGTTTTACATCAATTATACTATGCTTATACTGTAAATATTACAAACATTATGGTGACATTTACTATGAAAATGATATTCCTAACTATAATCTTTTTACTATGCCATTATAGTTCCAAGTATCATACATTTTTCTCTCAGTGTGTTTGTTAAAAGCCGAGTCTCGTGGCTGTTAGCCGATGAGTTATGATGTGTTCTCGGTCGATGTTCACAATAAATTCTCGCCGCGGTTAGTACCTCACCTTGAAACAGACGAACAGGGAGAACGGCATCGTGATGATCACAATGATCCATGACAGTATCACCAGAATATTCCCGCATGTCGTTGCATCCCCCTGCGCGCTGTCGTCTGCTGCAATAATGCACGCATAAAGATAGGACGTTTTGCGAATGTTAAACTACGAATGAGATTACGTAGCATTAAGAGGGTATTCTAGTGTGCGAAGACCCGTTTTCAAAGCGATTTTTGGGAACCAATTTTAACCTTCTAACCGTGTTCGTTTCGGGTATACTTTGAAAGACGGCGTAACCTGTTTCGCCCACTTGTATTTCCTTCAATTTTGAATAAAAAGCCTTGACGAAATTCAACGATACGTTGATTGCCGTTGATTGTCGTAGATTACTGCCGTTCTCATCATTTGGAATAAACAAATTTGCTTTTATTTTGTTCTTTCTGAATGTGGCTATCGCCCGAACTAGAATCTTTTTGATATTTTTAAAATTACTATTTTTCCAGACCGCAAAAAGTTAGAATTTTTTAGTAAAAATCAGCCTACTATTTTTCAAGCGCCGCCATTTTGTCAATTTTTCTTCAAATTATTTAATTCTAGTTCGGGCGATAGCCGTATTCATAAAGAACAAAATAAAAGCAAATTCGTTTATTTCAGATGACGAGGATGGCGGCAATCAACACGCCCGATAGAAAACGATCGATTACGGCGTGATCTGTTTCGTCCATTTGTATTTTCTCCAATTTTGAATAAAAAGCTTTGACAAAATTTAATATGTTTCTTCAAAGACGAATAAATATCAGTACAAAACATTAACTCCGTAGGTTTAACCATTCGCTTAAAATTAATTCCCAAAGATCGCCTTGAAAACGGGTCTTCACGCTAGAATGTCTCCTTAAATGAAGATAAGTCACTTGCAAGAATATATATTATCACATATCTGTGTTCTGCAATAGTCGTCGCAGTTCGATATATAACCGAGTGACGGAATTAAATTAAATTGGAGAACTGGAACTAGAGACCAGAGAGAAAGAGTCGATCGAAGGAAAGAAATAAAAGCGAACAGGTGAAGATCTAATTAAACGACGTCGCTCGAATTTTCACGGCGAGGACGACGACTCGGTCGCTCTAGTTTCCAGTTATATCGCTTGTCAGACGGACGGAGAGTCAAATATTATCGGACAGCATGTGTCAACCGAAACTTGGCATCAGATAGCGAAAGACGGCGACATCGACAGTCGTCGAGTGTGCTGTAATTGTCGCCGGCGCGGCAGGGCGCCGATAATGTTGACTTTTTGTAGTACAACGTCGTCGCGATAATGTCAGGGAGTGCCTGACTTTGGCCCAACTTTATTCTCTTGTCAGATAATTGAACGACCCGGTCGAGTCAGTGTCACTCGAGCATTGAGGAGTCTGTATTAATCGTTACTTGAACGTTGTCTCCGACGTGTACTCAGACGGTACTCAGACTTGAATTTGGAGTTGAATGGGAGCTCTTCGGCTCTGAATCGCGATTACAAGTCGCATATATTATATGCAGGGTCGCTACGGACCTGGGAAACCAGGAAAACCGGGAAAAGTTATGGAATTTAAATTTGCCATGAAATAACCTGGAATTTTTACCTTTCCTTACAATTCTTTGAAATTAAGGTAACCCTCTCTGGGTTATAAGAGAAGAATCTAGAGTTACTAAAGATTTTATTTTTTTACTAGGAAGTTAATTTTTTAAATTTTAACGTTAAGAGTTTATAGGTATAGTATAGGAATTCAAATGTTATTTAAAAAATAAATAAGATTTTCTTAGTTTATATTGAATATGTATACTTCTATGCAAGTCGATGCATCATGATGTTAACAAAATAATTAACATTAATATTTTATTCAGCGTTTCTTCATTCAATCGTTCTTTTCCGTCTCATAACTACATTCTTTTTTCTAATAGTTTTTATTAGCCTGAATGTGCATTTTCAAGAATATATGTTAAGAATATTATCTTACTAAACTAAATTTGCATTGCTTTTAATAATATAAATTTTTCTGTAATCCCTGTTCCTAAATGTCAAAATTGAAGATTATATGTTGGTCATGGAAAATTCTCCACTGTCGTCTAGAAAACATGAAAAAGTCAGGGAATCTAAAAATTGATTTTCTGTAGTAACCTTGATATGATTTAAATAAGAAAAGCTTAAGTCTAACTCCACATTCAGATCTGAGTATTTCATGTGGTGCAAGTCTCAAGCACTGAGAGAAAAAAATAGTTGGAATAACTATAATCTCACTATATTTTATAGTTCGTTTTGGCTTCAAACATATATTTATAGTTCATCTAAACACGAAGATATAACAGAATGAACACACATTTATAGTCACCATCTTATTATTCTATATGTATAGTAAAGCACGCTTTGGGAATATAGTTACATGTACCCATATTTTCCAAATATTCCAATTGTATTGACTATATAAAATAGTTAATTTCTCTTACCATTTAATATTTGCTACCTTACTATGTTTTTTATTTCAAATAATTATAATTCTTGGTAAAAGTTTTACATGAGTCAGTTATACTATGCTTATATTGTAAATATTACAAACATTATAGTGACATTTACTATAAAAAAGATATTCCTAACTATAATCTGCTTACTATACTTTCTTATTATATTTCCAAATATCATATTCTTATATCTTCACATATTCCAAATATTCTATTCTTATTATACTTCCAAATATCATACATTTTTCTCTCACACTGAGAGAAAAATATTTGGAACTATAATGGCATAGTAAAAATATTATAGTTAGGAATATAATTTTTATAGTAAATGTTACCATAATATTTGTAATATTTACAATATAAGTATAGTATAACTGACCCGTGTAAAATTTTTACCAAGAATTACAATTATTTGAAATAAAAAATATAGTAAGGTGGCAAATATTGAATGGTAAGAGAAATTAACTATTTTATATAGTCAATACAATTGGAATATTTGGCAAATATAGGTACATGTAACTATATTCCCAAAAGGTACTTTACCATATATATAGAGTAATAAGATGGTGACTATAAATCTGTGTTCATTCTACTATATCTTCATGTTTAGATGAACTATAAATATATGTTTGAGGCCAAAACGAACTATAAAATATAGTGAGATTATAGTTATTCCAACTATTTTTTTCTCTCAGTGTAGTAAGTAACGGCTATTAGCGCGAGTCTGAGAGATGGCGAACGGTCTCATTATAGACGAAACTAAGTGGTCGAAATAATTCAGCCGAGAGTGTTAATTCAGCAGACCCAGATTACATGGATACGTGTGTTTCATTATTGATGAGCAGCGGGGAAAAGATGTCCTTTCCGAGCGGTGCCGATACTTCGCGCACTTTATTGGCCATTGTTCTCGGAAAATTCGTCCCGACCCCGACAGAAAGTGTAACTCACTCGCGTAATGAAACCTGCGAGTTTCTCGCGGACAATGCTAATGGCTATCATTACGCGGAATGCTAATTTCGTGCGAGGGGACCGCGACGGTATAATTTCTTATCCCTCGCGTGCGTCATTCTTGTTATTACAGTTATTACAGGGACAAGGAGTGCATTGTGCATTCGTATTCGCCAAATTAGTCGTTTAAACAGCGACATTGTCCGGCGAAATTATCGCGAGAAATGAAAACATATCGTCTCGCTCCTTTCTCGACACATCTTCTCTTCTGACACAACATGTGAGCTGCTCGCTAATATATACTGAGGGAAAAATTACCTTGAAATCAACAAATATTTCTTTGTTGGATGCCATTAACATATTTATTTAAATCTAAATTCTCTTTATTTAAATCAAATATTGTTTACTTTTAAGTAAATAGATTTGTTAGATTTAAATAAATATATTAATGGCATCCAGCAAAGAAATATTTGTTGATTTTAAAGTAATTTTTCCCTCAGTGTGTGTGTGTGTGTGTGTGTATACGTGCAATAAATACTAAAAAAAATATAATCTCACGTTCAGTAGAGTCCTTTTGTACAGGATAAGTCGATAATTATTGTCACTTATTGCTTCAATGTCCTTCAGGTAAGAAACAAAAGTGATCTTCAGATTTTCGAGAGGCTATTTTATTTAGAAACAAAGCTATTTATGATAGTTACTTTTTTCTCAGAGAAGTAACTTCGAAGATCTTAAACTCTTGTTTCTTGCTTCGTAAATATAAATATCGTCAAAGTAGCAATAGTTGTCGACTCATCCTCTGCATAGCCTCTCAAGAATATAGCCTATAAAGCCTTATTTCTTCTGAAATAAAAAGAAAATATACTCTCTTAAAGTGAATAGTCACTGATATTAGTTATGAGTATAGCACTGAGCACTTTCAATTCTATACTTACAATTGCAATCAATGTTCACTGTTTCAGTGACTGACTGATTCATTTTAAGAGAATGTAGACACTAAAAAAACATAAAAAATTTTGATTGCAAGATCAGGATGACATCGATAACATTTCAATAAGAATGACATCGTATCTTTTTCATGGAATTACTGTAATCGCAGCTGAGTGCGTACAGTTGTTTTTTCGTCGCGGAAGCGCGCATTGACGAGCGATCGTCGTTGGCGCTCGTCGAGGAAGCGCGATTCTCTCGTTATGTAATTAATCCGTCTCCGTTGGAAAAAATAAATTTGTTCACGCACGGTGTTCACACGCAATTCGCGCAGTCGGCGACTCGCGTGACAACTGTTGCATGTGCGTACAAAGACGGATTAGTTTGGATTAAGAGACCGACTAGTCGCCTGAATGATCTCGAGAGAAGTTGCTTCTATTGCTGATATCATATACGGAGAAAAATAATTTTGCTCTTTTAGCAAAATCGTTGCTGTTGCATATTCGTTATAGCAATAATTTGTAGATTTGTAGATTCAGCAAATTATACCCAACAAATAGTGATTAGTTATTCTTAGCAAATCTTTTTGCTATCCATATAATAACGAAAAGATTTTGCTAGACCAGCACACTGAGAGAAGAATTTAGTAAATATTATCAAAATTTGGTTACTATTACTAAATGATAGACGTAAATATAGCGGGCCAAAGCTATGGCAATACTTATTAATTAATTTAGTTCTGTAAAA